GTAAGAAAAAAGGTGTATTGCTGGAGAGTAACCAACAGAGAGGTGCCTCCGTAGCTCCACTGCCAATTTGTCTGGCTGCTGAAGGCCATCATCCATGTAGAAGAGAGATTGCTGCATAATGTGTACATTAGAGAATGTGCTGTACCTAGGACAGACTGAGCCTTCCATGACTGCAGTCAGAACATAGCTGAGGAGGTAATTTCATCACACTTTCCATCATATTAAATAAGAAAAAATATATATAAAAATGTATAAGCAAGAATTTTGTTTGATGGAAAACATTGTGTGATTCCATTGACATAAACTCCTGGCACAATAAATATTAATGTCATTCCTTATAGAAAGCTTCCTGAAAGGATCCCTTCCCCAGCAAGCAAATGGGAAAATCTTGTCCTAACTCTGTGAGCTCCGTCAATTCAGAGATGAGTGGTGTGACTGAAAACAGAGCAACCTGTTTGGGCATGCTCCACCTTTTCTTTGAGGTTATTTGAATTATTTAAGGGTGCTGTGAAGTGCTTTTTATCCTCAAGTTGATCTTTGTGAATTCTATTTTAGCAGTAATAGTAAAAATATTTTAGTTGTCTAATTTACTTACAAAACCAAAAATCCCAGTTCATCATTATCCCTTGCATAAAAAACAAGGTACCTGGAAGATATGAAACCATTATCTCAGACTCACCGAAATGTGAGTCACTTTATTGTATAATCTGTAGTGCACCATGAAGGTGCCTGACTGCCTTTGATATAGAATAAATTTAAAAATGCTAATAGCAAACCAAAATCATTTACACCTCTGTAATACATTTTGGTCTGTACCTGTGCTGTGATGCACTTTGGTAATTGACACTAAAAACTTCAGTATACAGGCTCCCCTGCTGTATGAATTACAGATTTTGCTGTTTGTAGTAGCTTGTTCATGCTCCTGCCTGTTGTCTCCTGAGATTTAAAAGAAACCCTGCTGTTTTCTTAACACGGTGAGTTTTTTAATAGTTGGTTCCTGGTATATGAAAACTTAACTGAAAAATTAGACCATTGTTTGAGAATTGACTCATGTATTTGAGGCATTTTCAAATGAATTAGTTTCATGTTGTAGTTTATAAACAAGATTTATTTGTTGTTCTCGGTTATTCTCCTGGATTTAAAATCTCGTTTGAAATAGGATTGGTGTATTGAAAACATTATCCTCACATGCACTTACTAATATGATTTGCATTATCATAAACCTCCTCCATAGGTAACTTGTGATCAATTGTTTTACCTGGTTCGTTTTATCGGGTATCATGCTAACTCACAGTAGTTTATTTTTGAGGTTTAGGTTTGGGTTTTTTCTCTTTTCTTTTAAATGTTCTATGTTAAAATTTAAGTCTTAAATGAGGCTAAAGTGGAAGAAAGAATTTATTTTGGTTTAAAAGTTCCCTATTTGCCCCAAAATAGGTGTTTTATTCTTTTACTTCGGCACAAAGTGTGAAAAATATTTTTCAGTTTTATCAAAGTTGATTTCTTTTCTAAATTTTGTTTGATAGTTTGGAAAAAAGCTAGAAGTTGCATTATTCAGACAATTCTAGTTAATGATTTTTAAACATACGCCCAGTGGCCTGAGCCAAATATGTGATGTTAAGTGTCCGCAGAGGAGCTGGTGCTGCTGCACCTCCTGCCACACTGCCCATGAAGCATCTTCTCTGAGCTTAGCGTGTGTCTTCTGTTTCATTCTGTGGGTTGAGAGGGGAGATTGAAATAAATTGTCACCTAATCACTGAAAAGATTTTTTTAAAATGCAAAAAAAAATAAACACGGAAGGAGAGAGAGGAGTCATGAATGCTAATCTGTAACCTAGAGGACTCCTACGTTGGATTAACATAATTTGGGTAGCAATTTCTTCCTCTGATGGCTTTGTAGCCGTGGCTCCCAAGGCCGTAAGCTGTTCCTGGTGCCCCCAGCGCTTTGTCCATTCCCAGCGCTGTTAGGACAAATACCATTCTCACCGTGGGTTGTTCAGATACGCTTCTGGGACTTAACACCCCTGCTAATGGGAAACCCACCCTGTTGTAGCCCTGAGAGCCAAATGAAATCAGGTGCAAGTAATTCAAACCAAAATAACTCCATTAGCAGAACCTGGAAGAGTTTCTAAGATAGTCACTTTGCTTTTCACAAAGAAAAGATCAAAATTGAGTCTGACTGGAAGATGGAGAACTGCTTTCCCTTTACTTGGTTTCTTTTAGTGTACAGCATGAATGCAGTGTTTGTTGCCAGGCATGTAAGCTGTTGACCAAAGCAGAGAAGAGTGAGGACTCTATTACAGAAAGCAAAGTATTTAATTGTTATTTTTATAGCTATTTCTTTCCTAAGGAAATCTTCATATTTTTGTGTCTTTTCACTTTTATCTCTTACATAGATGAGAGAATCAGGTCAGCTGAGTTCTCACGTCTAATGGCTTGTTGACAAGGAAAAAATTAATCAGAATAGCTACTGTGGAATAAATAGCTTCCCCATAGATACTGTTATTCTCAAATAAGTCCGCCTTTTTTGTGATTAGTGCTTATTCTGTCAGACCAATGTTTGTCAAGTTTCCCAGGTAGACAGCAATCAGCTTGTAGAAATTAGTACCTTCCAGAAAGTACCTGGCTCCTTGAACAGGCCTTGTCACTGCCATAACCATTCCAGGGGCAGAGACCAGCCCTGAATGGCTACATCTAACCACATCAGAGCCCTCTGCAGGGATCTTCACCAGTATAAAGCAAAAGCAAGAGATTTCAATTTTTTTATCACCTTTTCAAGTCTAGTAGAATTCTTTGATATTTGTGATCTTGGAGAATCTACTAGTAATTTGAGGCTTTTCAGTTCACTTTCTACAGAAAGCTTCGTTCCTTGGACAAAAAAGAGGAAACAGTAAGAGAAGACATTTTTTCCTTGAAGTTCTAAGCCTACTCTTCAGGTTTCAACCCAAAAAACTCTTTTGTTTTCTCATCAGAACACAATGAAAACCCCTCTGGTTCGTATCGTAAACTCCTCCATCCGCTTCCCATGTGGTTTTGTTTAGACTGGAGGCCCCTTATTGTTTCAGTTTACTGATTCCCTATCAGATTTCAATAGTTTTCTAGGTTTCCCTGAATATAAAGTGACTGCTGCATTCGAAGTCAATAAACTCAACATTGCCCTGTGAAGTTCCTCTCCCACCGCTGGCAAATGCCCGTTGTCTCCAGGACTAGGGGAATGTGGAAAGAACTTAAAAGCGTGCACTGACCTGTAGCTATGCCAGCTTTGCTGGATCTGAGGGTTTCAGATTATTGTTGCTAGCTATCTGCAGTTGCCCTTGGCTCGTAATCACAAAAACTAGCCTGCCCTATCTGATTTCACAGCTGCAGTAGGATAGATTTGTTAATATTTTTTTGTTTAGCCAAGCAATTACCGTGCTCAAGGTCAGGCAAGGATTTTCAGACTCCATGAAAGCCCATTTCATTATACCTGTTTGTTCTGTAGAAGGGCTTTTGCTTTCTTTTCAAAGTGAATATTTTATGCTGTTATTTACTGAGCATTCACACAGTGCAGTGTGCTCTGTTGAGAAAAGAGCAGAGTTGGCTGAGGGTTGGTCTCGCACCCATTAAAGTCAACGACAAGACTACAGCAGTTCCCTGATAACGCAGTTTGCCCTGAGGAGGGGCGGTTTGATGAGCACCAAAGCATTGGTATGAACAGAGCCTGAAAAGTCAAAGCATGAAGTGAAAATATCTGACAGTATGTTGATCCTATAGCATTCCGATTTTAGCACAAGGGAAATCCATACAGTGATATGATGACTCCACATTTATTCAGACTGACCTTGTTAAAAATACGAAGAGATGTCTTTGTTGAAGGATACAGTGCCTTCATCTTGCTTTATATGCATTAGTGTGCTCGTCAATCCACACAAGTTAGCAACTGGTAGGTCATAAAATGGGTGTTTAAGAAGATAGTTGGACATTTTACCGTACCTTATTAAATCTGTTTCTGGTTGAGTACGTAATTTAAGCGATTTGGACGTCTAAGCTGCCGATAGAAGCAATTAAATGCCAATAGCCTAAAATTAAGTTTTATTTAGGTGCTTAATTTAGATGCACTTCAGTGCTTCACTTTTCATCATAAGCTTTGAACATTTAAGGAAATTGGTTTCACCCACAAATGTTGTTACAAGTTTGTCCATGAAGAAATATAGATTTGGGGGAAAAAAATAATTATTTCTCCTATTTTTCATATTTGAAAGTGGAGGGAGGTGAAATAGGTTTATTTTCACTTTGAAATTTGCTTTCCTGGTACGACATCTGTGGAGAAGACTGTATATATCAGGTCACTGAGATAGAGCCTGCATCAAAGTGTGTATTTATGTATCAGCAACTACAGGAGGAATGTAGTCATGATTCTGCCCTTTTTGGATCATTCTAGTATTGCCACCAATAAATGAAATTTAAACGTCCTAAAGTACTAATAAAACTACTGCAGGGCTTAAAACAGAAGTCGGACAACTGTAGCAGGTACCTTTTTTTACTACTGTGGTGAGGATGCTTATGAGAGTTAGATAACATTTCAGACTTCATTACTGCAGACCGGATAGCAGGTGTATATTCTTCACAGGTGTGAACAGACAGTAGTGACAATAAAGGACTCTTTAAGATATCAGCCCCACAGGGTGGACCATGCAGCCGTTGGACTAACGAGTATTGTGTAGTGATTTTCTCCTTCTGCCTGTTCTGCAGTGAAGACAGTCCCACTCCTCCCTGTTCACTTAGTTTGTAGGTTCTGTCTTCTCATTATCACGTGGGGATTTTATGAGGTGATAACAGTGTTAATGAACAGAGAGAAATATCCCTCCTGGACTAAGCATGTATGTTAATGCTTTATTGAATTATGTGTCATAATCAGCATGCCTTCCGATTGATTAAATACCTCCTGTGCTCTCCAGTAGTAAACATGGTGCTTTATTCTCAGAATCACTCAATTTCCTGAACTTTCCATTCTCTCCATTTTAGATGGCTTGACAGACTGTGTAGACCCTGACTGTTGTCAGCAAAGCAATTGTTACGCAAGTCCTCTCTGCCAGGGTTCGCCTGATCCCCTTGACCTTATTCAGCACAGCCAGCCGCCTTTCTCTCAGCATCCTCCGAGGCTTTTTTATGATCGGATCAGATTCCTTATTGGGAAAGAAAGCACTCATGTAATCCCAGGAGATGTCTCATTTGAGAGCAGGTGAGTTTTCTTTTAGATGGAAGACTTTTCTGGATGTTGAGAACTGCAATGAAATTATTTAACCAAGGAAAAGCAGTGATACCTGGATAGCTGAGAATTCTTCGCTGGTGATAAAAAATTACATAGAAGGATAGCAAACATTTAAGTCCCAACAGATGAGGATCTTGTTTATCAAATTCTTATTGCTACCTGTCTAGTTCATAAAAGGGTCACAGCAACAAGCTCTACTACTCTTATTAACAAGACTTTGACTGTTACAGAAGGTAAGCTCTCTTGTAAAATAGGTGGTGGAAAGTTCAGCCCTTTATGCTGTAGATGCGTATAAAGGCAGGAGGCAGAAGGAGTTGGATTCATATGCGTTGTATTCAGTCACCTTTCTGCCCAACAGTATTTGGTTGGTACTTACAGTGTAATAAATTCAACATGTGTCACTTACATATAAAGCAGCTACCTAGTTAGCAAACTTTTTTGGTTTTGCTACATGTGGATAGACCAGTGTGGAGTTTACCATTTTGTGCTGTGGGTGACTCTCAAGCTGTCATGCAGACAGTAGAGTGATCTCTGAGTGTTTGTGACGTTGGCTTGCCCTTTAACAGGAAAAGACTGTGCGGTTGGAAAGGGGCACTTTCTTGCTCAGAAAACGTGGTAACACATATTTTCTTGAACATCTGAAATATAGGGGCACGTAAGTTTTTATGTTGTGGTTCACCTGGGAAGCTATAACTTACATGCTGACAAAGAGATCCACAAATCATCCACGTCACCTAACTATTACCTGTCAACTAGGCCTACACATTAGATAAACTATGTTCAAGTAATAAGGGCGTAAGAGTTTTTTTATTTTCACAGTAGAGTACATAGCACTTAGGTTACAACCTCGACTTCATTCCACAGCTGCAAATTCAGTGCACTTTCTCATTGTAACTTATTAATTTTTAATAAAGTAAATATGTAAACAGAGTCTTTATTGATCTGAAATACCTAAACATTTAATCACTATTAATAATGTAACAAGTTGTTATAAATATGTGGAACAATAGGGCATGAAAATGAACTCTGTGAATAGCCCCCCCCTGCCAATGGCGGGTCTCTCGGAGTGGGTCTCGCTGACGAGCAGTGCCGCTGCGCCCTGTGCCGGGGCCTTGGCTGGCTCTACGTGCCACGGAGCAAACTGCCGTTTAAACCAAAAGGCACCAGTGAAAGATTTTCCTCATCAAAATGCCCAGCCGTGAGGTGTTTTCAGAGAGGAGGTGAGCACTCAAGTCGCCTGTACGGTGTTCTGTGACACTGCAAATGTTAGCAGCCAGATTGCACATAATCCCGTCAACGTGCTTTTATAGATATAAGGAACTGATCTTTTAAAGCTATCATTGATGGGATTTAACTTGGATTTAAAAGCTTTTTCTGAGTATTTCATGTCTTTACCCTGATATCTGCCATGCCTTTTAAGAACGAAGAGCAGCCAAGGCCCGTGTGTGAGCAGCAGCCCACCCTCACCATGGTTGGATGCTCTGTAGCACCAAGGAATACTTGTACTTGTGTTGGTGCACTGCTCACACCCCAGATATCATGTCCTCCCACTGCAGATAAATTACTAGTTAGTTTGGTGAGAAGATCATTGGGATTCAGATGAGGCTGTCTGTATCTTTGGAATCAAGGCAGTGCCTGGAGACTTGTGCTGTGCCATGTCTCCTGGGTTTTCTCAACAGTAATCTACAGTGTGCTGGGCACCCCGGGGAGTTCATCAGTCCACACTGTGCTCGATCCTCAAGTCTTCCAGGCTGTTGAAAAATTGCTCATCCATAAGTCAAATATTATTAAGAACTGCCAAAATTTTCCTCAAGGATGAGAGATAAGGAGAGTCTCAGAAGGAGGCAATAGCTTAGCTGTGCTGCCTCTGTTCAGAAATCTTCCTCTGACATTGTCAATCTGACTGTCATCTAGTGTCTGTTCCTCTCCTGGGAATTAAGATTACTGAAAAAAATATAGAAAGACAACTGTTACTACAGTTTAAAAAAAATAATAATCAGAAATCTCTGATCCTGCCTATCTGGTACAGACCAAAGAGTGCTTGGGGGCTTTTAATATTGTTTTGGCTGTTACTGAAAAGGTTGTGTCCAGGCAGATGATATTAACTCATGGCTGCCTGCAATGCCACTTGTTTTATAGCATTGGTGATTCAACAAGAAATGTTGGAAGGATTGGATGACATAGTCGTATTCATTTATTTCAGAGCAGTGGCATCCATTCCCACTGGTGCTCAAATTTTGCAAAGCCTTATCTGGCTTTTTTTTTTTTTCTTTTCCTTTGCAAGAAGTCTCTGAGACCATTAGGAGGATTAAGGAAGAAACATCTATCCAATATTTTCAGTCTTCTTGAACTGTTATGCTGAACCATGGCTAAATACTACACCAAAATTAATGTTAAGGAGCTAAATGTTTTCAAAACATATTTTGCTTTTTATTATGTCAAAGCTATGTCATTTGTACTGGGTTTTTACAAACTCTCAACTTAAACTGTGACATGCTGAAAGGCAGATTAGACACATTCTGAATAAATGGAAATGTGCTTGCTTATGTCAGGAATGGTTTTGACCTACTGCATGTAGCAGGGTGTAGCAGATTATAATGTTTTTATCAACTTCTGTTCTCAGGGAGGTTTTTAGCTTGTTTCTTTGCTGAGTGTTTCTAATGCATGCTGCTGGCAAGCTATTTGACTCGCTGCAAATTGCCTACAAAAAGGGTCCAGTGTATGGTGCTGAATTAATTACCCTTCAAAGGGTGCTTACAGCAGCATTGTCAG